GAGGAAATAAACTGTTCAATTTCAGTCAATACTCTTACCGTAACAAGCTGAATATATATATATTCTAATACATGGTGCGTCGGTGGCACAGCGGTTAGGACGCTCGCCGACCATGCACATGGTCCGGGGTTCGATCCCCGACCACCGACGCACTCCCTTACCTCTCTAAGCCAGAAATAATGCTGGTAAAGAGGAAAGGTTGGGCATGAGGCTGGGTAGCAACCCCATCCTGTAAAAATAATCAGCACTGCTACAGAAACTTCACGCCTCTAGCTTGAAGCCGCCTATGAACCACTGAGAATGTGAAGGAAAAATTATTATTTATTCTATTACATGGCATTCATAGTGAATTCGATTCATGAAACTGAGTGAAAGCAGTTAAGAGGAGGTTCCTTTCATGGAAAAAAGGCGAGGCTTTTGTCCTGATAAGTTACAAAATAAGTTGTAAATTTACTGGGGTTTATTAATAATGATGGTTTTACAATGCATTATTCAGTGATTAACCCTACAGTGGGACAGTAACTGAACTACCACCGTAAAATCCACATTTTACTGGTCACGTTAATGACTCATATGAAATGTTTATACTGTTTTCAGGTCAATTTCGAGTTTCTCATTGATTGATTGGACGCAGAATGTTCAACTCAATCAAACAGATAATAACTGCTACACGTTCTTTGCACAAGAGGTGGCTGTCGTGGTCCCCATGGGAAAACCGCCATTATCACTAGGGGGATTGGCATAGGGACAGTAAATCCAGATGATTAGTTCAAAATAGGATGAAATGCCCATCCTGGATTCCACTACTAGTCACTTTCCATCCGACTAGGTGGATTATATTGCCATCGTAGGTAGATATGAGGCTGTCTAGACACTTTAAGCAGAAATCTTAGTATGTTCAGCGTAGAATTCACCCCTGCCAAATGTAGCATGATGTTGCAGCACTAGACTACATCGACTTCTAGCTTAAAGATAAGGAGTAGGGTGGTAGAACATATCGATCGTTTCACTTATTTGAGGAAGTTACATAAGCCTCAATGGTCTGTCTGTCTGTCTGTTTTCGACATAGAACTTTGCACAAATGTGCGGAAGTTCAAGTCGCCACATTCCGTGTAGCACGCGAAGCAAGAGAAGAAAGTACAAGAAAAGCATAATAGAAACAGTGAGCAGAGGTGTGAGACAAAGGGGTAATAAAGAAATACAAAACAATTTAATTGAAGATCATAAGTCACAGGGAGTGGATGCATCTGCGCCACTGAAAACGATTTTGAGCCATGTCACCAATTGTTTCCAACCATAGATTTTTGCCGTCCCGAGGACCCCAGCCTGGAAGTCTACACCTTCCTACGTGGCTTAGACCAACTGTTGTGGATTTCATTGACTGATGCCAAGTTTTTGTTTGACCGCCGCTAGTTTTTTTCCAGCCTGACCCTATATCCGCTAACATAGCTCGTCGAGGGAGGCGATGACTTGGCATACGTAACACATGTCCTAACCATCTCAGTCGATGTAGCTTCACGACTTCGTCGATTGATTTCCCCTGTTTACCTAGAACTCTACGCCTAACCTCCATGTTGCTCACCTTATTATGCCACTTTACACGGGAAATAGAACGCAGGCACCTATGATCAAAGGCAGCTAGTCTTTTCATGTCTTCCACTCTCAGTGGCCAGGTCTCACAGCCATAAAGGAGGACGGAGCGGACTGATGAGCAGTACACCCGCCCTTTGGTCGATAGCCGGATATCTCGTTTACGCCAGAGACGGCGTAAACTGGCAAATGCGAAACGAGCCCCTTGTATTCGTGCTGAGATTTCGTCAGAGATCAACCCGTTGACACTGGCTGATGGTACTTCCCAAATAAGTGAAGCGGTCAACGTGCTCTACCACTTCACTTCCTATTTTTAAACTAGGCGTCGATGTAGTCCAGTCCTGTAACATCATCTTGCATTTGGCGGGAGCGAATCGCATGCCAAACATTCGTAGATTGCTGTTCAAGGTGTTTAGAAGACTCTGCATTTTGTCAGCGTCTTCGCCTAGAAGGACTATATCGTCTGCATATTCCAAGTCAACGAGATTATTCCCAGGTAGCAAGTCAATCCCTGAATCGCTGAAGTCACCTAGGGTTAAGTCCATTAACACATCTATGACGAAGTTGAATAGAAAAGGAGATAATGGGCATCCTTGACGGACACCACTGGTCGTCATCAGTTCAGGTGACAGCTCGCCGTAAGCCCTCACCTGGCTGTATGAGTACGAATAGAGTGCCTTAATCAGTGCAATATATTTTCTCGGGATTCCCTTGACAGCCAGGCATCTCCAGAGAACTTCCCGATCGACAGAGTCGAATGCTGCCTTTAGGTCAAGAAATATAATGACTGTAAGCCTCAATGGAGGACAGATTGCTGATGAAATCTCCTGTCATTTGACAAATTGTGTGATATCTGATAATCGATCGAAATATGCGTGTACTCAGCAAACCATAATTCTGTCTTATGCTATCAACCTAAACAATGACACCTTCAGAATATTCTGACAATAAAAACTAAGATTATTCTATCAGATTCTCTCGGTAATTACGAACAGATGCATAGTATATACAACAATCTATGATATGCACACATCTGGTTCTCATGTGGGAAATGTTAGCAGACTTGCCATGCCATGTTGAAAGACAAGAGTCAAATAAATTATTGACTGCGTCGATGCAGGTGAGATGAACGGGCTAACTCAATTAGAATCAACAAATAGTCAAGAATCTAATGGAAAGCAAAGAGAAAAGGTGCATTAGAGTTGGAAGACAAGTTGACATCTCCTTAATCCTAACTCTAAAAACAGGAAGCTTGAGTATGGGGTTAGCTAGTAAAACACACATCACCATTACTAGAAATTCAAACCGCAGTCTTAAGGGGTTCTGTGTTCCGCCAGTACGGCAAAAAGCAGCATAGCAAAAAAATTGTTTGGAGACATTAAAAATCGACAGATACTCTTCTCATGTTAACTCTGAGTGTGTCTATGTTTGGTAACTGGATGCTTCTATTCTGTCTTTTTTATTTGATCACATAGTCTTTGGCGTTAATCTCTCTCCACGTTTATATAGTGTGTGACTTTGCTTATCTCATGTTTCTATGATTTGAGTTGAACTCAACACATTGTTACTTAATTAATCGTATTCACTCCTTGTCTTTGTTAGGTAACCCCTTTATCACTGTATGCATATATTGATTTCGGTTTAAACTTGAACTCTCCGGGGTAAAAACTATATAAGAGCAATTTTCTGAGCACTATTCACTGAGTTTGGAACCTCGCTTGTCAACTAACATTTGCAAGTATGTTATGATTAATGTGTCCATAAATCTAACTATGATTAATACATTAGGCTTTGGTATGCAGCTGATGAGAAGCCAACGAAAGAAACAATGGTGGTACCGTCATCTTATTCTGCACAAAACCGCTGTTGTTCTTGCATTATTCAAGTGTTTCTGTCTGTCTGGATTCAACATAGAACTTGGCACCGAAGTGCACCAGTTCGAGTTGCCACGTTCCAAACAGCACACAGAGGTAGACAAGAAGATGAGTGAAGAGAATCAATAGAGTTTGACAAATATAAGAGCGAAACAGAATGGGTAATGGTAGAAAGGAATATGAAAGATTACAGAGACTGAATACATCTGCGCTGGCCATTGACAACGATTTTGAGCCATTTCACCTATTGTCTCCAGCCATTTATTCCTAGAGTCCCGAGGGCCCCAACCCGGAAGTCTGCATCTCCCTACCTACCTGAATCAGTTTAACTGTCAAGGATTACATGGATTGATGAGGCCATGTTTTTGTTTGGCCACCACTTACCCTTTTCCAACCTGCACCTATATCAGCTAGTAATGCCCGTCGGGGGAGGCGATGGTCAGGCATGCGCACCACGTGAACAAGCCATCTCAGTCTATGTAACTTTATAGCCTTGTCGATTGATTTTCCCTCTTTGTCCAACACTCTACGCCTAACGTCAACATTACTTACCTTGTTAAACCACCTAACGTGAGACAGAGATCGCAGACATTTATGATCGAAAGCAGTCAACCTTTTCATGTCTTCAACGCGTATTGGCCATGTTTCAGAGCCATAGAGAAGGATGGAGCGAACTGCTGAGCAGTACACACATCCCTTGGTTGATAGCCGGATGTCACGCCTACGCCAGAGATGGTGTAAGTCAGCGAAAGCAGCTCGAGCTTTTTGGATCCTTGCTGAGAGTTCGTCGCCAATCAGTCCGTTGGTGCTAATACAACTTCCCAAATAGGTGAAGTGGTCAACATGTTCTATCACTTCACTCCCTATCACTAAGCTAGGAGTTGACGTAGTCCAGTCCTGTAGCCTGATCATCTTACATTTTGCAGGGGCGAATTGCATGCCAAACATACGAAGATTGCTGCTCAAGGTGTTCAGAAGACTCTGCATTTTGTCAGAATCCTCACCTAACAGGACTGTCATCTGCATATTCTAAGTCCATAAGACTATGCCCTGGTAACAAGTCGATTCCTAAGTCGTTACGTTCAGTTAAGGATACTTCCATTAGCATATATATGATGAAGTTAAACAGAAATGGGGAGAGTGGACATCCCTGTCGGACACCACTGGTTGTTATCAATTCAGATGACAATTCTCTATAAACCCTTACACGGCTACATGAGTTTGAATAGAGTGCCTTGATTAGTGCAATGTTTGAAGACAGCTGTGTTCATCAGTAAACCATGGAGATTTAGATGAAACAAGTCTATGATAACTTCTGGTTCATCTTTTAAATCAACTACACACACACACAAGTCACAAATATATCAATGTATGCTAGTAAGTAGAACAAATAAAACTGTATAGGTACATTTTCTGAGACAATATCAAATGCGGTTTTTTTTTACACTGAAAGATTAGACAACATGATTTGCATAAATATTTAAGCAGAAAGATGAAAAACAAAAAAAACAATATTAAATTAATGAGAATTCTAACCTTTCTAACATCACACAAAGCGACTTCTTGTGGTGTTGTAATAATTATCACTCCATCTAAACAGTTAGCAGCTTGAAGATACTGAATAACAGAAAGATGTTCATCTGATGTTCCCGGTGGAGTATCAATAATTAAAAAGTCTAAACTGGCAGTTTGATCCAATTTACCATCTTCTTCTTCAATCCAAGAAGTATCAGTTAGTAACTGGCGAATAAGTGTATTTTTACGAGGTCCACGCCAAATGACTGGGTGATCAGGACTGGGCAGTAGAAATCCAATAGACATGAGACTAAGATTTTCCGTAACAAAAACAGGAGACCAACCCGATTGACTTTGATGTATCTGTGTGATGTTTAAAAAATGATTGGCCGAGTAAAACAAACAGCTTTAGATTTTTTACAAACACTATGATTAAACTTTATATCACAAATAATTTATTTGATATTAATTAGACTCGCTTATATGGCCACACACGTAAGAGTTCATTTATCTGACCAGAACATCAATTAAGAGCCTCACCATATTGTCGAGAGCAAATTCACTTTAAAAATTAAACCAAACCAGTAATACCGGGCGGTTTTACGAGGCGATGAATGCACAACTAGTCTTTCCTGATACACATGACTGTATAAGCCTTTTTCTGTTATTTTATTCCCTTGCATTCCGGGTGGAGCATAGGTCTTCAGACTTCAGTTTTGAAGTCTCAATAGCAGTGGTGCTTATTGTATATGGGGTGGGGTTGCTAGCCTCTTTACTCAGCCTGCTACCAAGTGAGAGAGGTTTGGGAATGCGTCGGTCGGGAGTCGAAACCCGACGGTTGGCGGGTGTTCTACCACAGGACAACGTTGACCCTGAAATACCTGCTCTCCAAAATAATAAACGGTAGGAAATTTTTTTTCCAGCTATTGTCAGATGCAACTGTTGTTCTCCACTTAAACAAACCGGTAAGATATTTGTCCATAGGGTTGAGTTGACTTGTATGAAGGAGCCGAAACATACTCCAAGTTCACTATTGAGAAACTTTCTCAGATTTGACTTACTTTTTACCTTCAACTACAAATAAAGGACCAGAAGGTAGACAGAAGTTTATGTCCCGTCAAATAAGCCGTTGCAATGACAGCCACAACTAGTATGTTTACATAATTGCTTTTTAATCACTTAGGCATAAAATAACCTAAGGACACAATTAAGTATGTTTAGAGTTTGAGCAGGCACTCCTGAAGTAGCGACAGTCCTGCATATACTTATATCGTGTCAAGTCTAAACTTAGATATGAGTAAATATATCACTGATATGTTAACGGTTGACCCTGATTAGAGAGAGAGAGATAAGGTGTTATTCTCATATAGCCATACTGTGGTCGATATGCATTCCATGTCAGCGGCTACGAATAAGTAAACTAACCTGTCCACACTTAAGGATTACGATGTAGACACCAATTACACTTAATTGGGACCACTTAATTGATGATAAAAAGTTTACCTTGTTGCATTCTAAGTAGATAGTGACATAGAAAAAAAAATAGAATGCACTTTGAAGTTTACATTATTTATTATTATTTCCTTTAATTCCTAGAGGAACATAGGGCTTCAGCCGCGTGTCTCCATTTGCGTTCGGTTCTCTGCAAGACTTTTCACCTGGCTCCAAATCTGCCCACACGCTTTCATTCCCTCTTCACATGACCTCCTCTAAGTCACCCTTGCACTGACAAACAACTCGCTGCTTTTCGTTCGGATTCTACTCGAGCAATGGCTTGTCTAGTTATGTCACTCACTTGATGGTTTCCTGAGAGTATGGCCAATCCATCTGCATTTCTTTCTGTCTATTTGTTTCCCAATAGGTTCCTGGTTGGCTCGCTCCCAGTTGCTGATCTTTTCTGGCCGGCCATCTGATCTTCAGTATTGAGCGAAGACAGCTGTTAGTGAAGGTCTATAGTTTGTTTGAGGTGCTTTTTATGATTCGCCAAGTCTCTGATTCGTATAGTAGCACTGACCTCACATTGGTGTTGAAAATCCGGATCTTATTTTTTGATGCTGAGTGCTGTTGACCTGTAGTTGAAACGATGCTTCCCAGGTAAATGTAGGTAAAGGAGGTGGTTTCTTCAAGGTTCCTCCCATTTATGCCGATTGTTATCTGTTGTTGTTGTTGCTGTTGGTTAGGAATCTTCATCACCTACCTCTGTTTTCTCTATGTTCACCTGAAGTCCTTCCTATCTTTGATGCTACTTCTGTCAGCTTGTCGCTTTTCACTTGCATATCTTCCAGTTTGTGGGAAACCAGACATATGTCATCAGCGAAATCCAGACCCTCCAAGTATTTTGTGCAGATCCACTTTATGTCTCCTCGCTGCCCGCCACTGTCTGTCGCAATATTCAGCCTACCGTATTCAGGAAAATCACTGGAGATAGTAGGCAGCCAGCCAGTCAGCCTTGTCTTACTCCCGTCTTCACTTCTTCGAAAGATTTCGTGAGTTTGCCGTTGTGGATTTCTTGGCATGTAGCATTGTCGTACAACTGAAGTTTACATTGCAGTGTGTTGTCTTATATAATTTGTGTAGAGGATGCAATATTGTTTAGTCGATTCAACTGAAGCCAATCTTTTTGATGGTCGGCTACAGTCACTGGTTTTACAGAAGACCAGAAATAATGTCAAGTTTTTAAAAAAAATTGAAGAACTTTCAAAGTACACGCAACACTGTTTACTCGCCTACTCTTTATATGCCTTTTTTAGTGTGCTCAGTGCCAAGCTGTGCCTAAAAATTTTATTACTATGGTACATTATTACTTTTTTTATTAGTCATATTTCCTTGTGTTCTGAGTGGAACATAGGGGGCTACAACGATACGTTTCCACTTTGTTCTATTTTCTGAGGTCTCCTTTAAATGGCCCATCTATTGCCCGTCGGCTTTTATTTCCTCTTTGCATGTCACCCTCACACCTACTCCCAACTTGTCGTTTCGAATTCAGGTTTCTCACCACTAGACGACCTGACGAGCGATGTCTTTCGACAACTGTGGGTTTGTCTCATCTCCATTTTTCTACATAGCTGTTAATAGAAATATGTTATTGGATGCTTCATTTCAACAGTTTTTTCTGTTGTTAATTCTTTCCAATTATTATTATTATTGTACCCTTTGGTTCCTAGAGGAACATAGGGCTTCAGCTGCGCACCTCCATTGCCTTCGGTTTTCTGACAACTTTTTCACCCTGCTCCAGGTATGTCCACATGCTTTCATCTCCTCCTCGCATGACCTCCTCCAAGTCACCCTTGGACGACCAACTCGCCGCCTCCCTTTCGGGTTCCACTTGAGCATTGGCTTGTCTAGTGATGTCACTTGATGGCTTGTTTCGTCAGGGTATGGCCAATCCATCTCTATTTCTTTCTGCCTATTTGTTTCACAATCGGTTCCTGATTGGTTCGCTCATTGCCAGAGATCCCTGTTGCTGATCTCTTCTGGCCATCTGATCTTGAGTATTGAGCGGAGACAGCTGTTAATGAAGGTTTGAAGTTTGTTTGAGATGCTCTTTATGACTCGCCAAGTCTCTGATCCGTATAGTAGCACCGACTTCACATTTGTGTTGGAAATCCAAATCTTGTGCTTTACGCTGCTGAGATGGAGTACGGAAGATTTCCAGACTGATTATTAGTATGATGAAGGTGAATCTTGCCTTCTTGATTCTGATTTTCACTTTAAAAATACATTCCGCTTGAGATAGAAACGATTCTCCCTAGATAAGTTGAGGAAGTGACCTCAGTCAGATGATTTCCTCTGTTGATATTATATATTGATTGGGGCTGCTGGTTGTCGTTGTTGGTTGGTTGGTTGGTTGGTTGGTTATCTTCATTACCTCTGTCTTCTCTACTTTCACTTGAAGTCATTATCTTTGTGGCTCACCACGCAAGTTTGCTAGCTTTCGACTGAGCATCTCTGAGTTTGTGTGCATACATATCCTAAAATATGCCTCTCAAGTGACCCTGACCGTCCCGAGGACCCCAGCCTGGAAGTCTACACCTTTCTACGTGGCTTAGACCAACGTAGAAAGGTGTAGACTTCCTGACTGGTTGGGGTCCTCGGGACGGTAAAAATCTATGGTTGGAAACAATTGGTGACATGGCTCAAAATCGTTCTCAGTGGCTATCGCAGATGCATCCACTCCCTGTGACTTATGATCTTCAATGAAACTGTTTTGTATTTCTTTATTACTCCTTTGTCTCACACCTCTGCTCACTGTTTCTATTATGCTTTTCTTGTACTTTCTTCTCTTGCTTCGCGTGCTACACGGAATGTGGCGACTTGAACTTCCGCACATTTGTGCAAAGTTCTATGTCGAAAACAGACAGACAGTAAGTTTGGAAGTGGGAATAATCCGATATTTGGCCAGAACTTGAAACAACCGCTTCTCAGTGACTAGCTTGCATAGAGGACCCAAGTGAAGTGGATAGAACAACACTCATCATGTATATATATATACTATCAATCTTCCCCTTGTTGATTGTTGCCACTTTCCATATCTCCGGTATTGCCGTTGCTTCATTTCGAATGCACATGTGCATTGTTGAATCGATGAACAAGGATTCGGCGATTAACCTCTCTCTCTCTCCACCTAACTGTATTACTTTTTAATATTTTCACCCTGTCCCACTCAACTTATTGTGTGATAACATGCAAATGAATGCAATGCATTAACTGACCTCCTTTCTAGGCTATTTAACTACTTACCAGGGTCAATCATTTTACGTCTAGTCAAACGTCTTTCATGTTCCAACACTCGAATTGACCCCGATCTATTAGTTTGACTTATGTAATTGTTGACCTCACTGACAGTCATTACACGGTTGATATTTGGGTAAATTATATTATTTTTCTTAATAGGATCTATCGGGTCCTTGAGACGAAAAAATTTATCTTTGAGAGATTTGGTTGGTTGGCTGGTTTGAATTTCACTCTAACTCATTTTAGTCTCATTGAGAATTCTACGTAGGACCTCTGATGTTCCTTCTTTATTCGACTGCAGTACTATAGAGGTTTTGAATTCTATATTATTTTCTTTCATTTTGATTACTGGCCTTATTTCGTTTCTATGCCTCTTCATTCATTTCTGAATGAAGTTCTGGTGGGTGGTAGTTATTCACTAAGAATAATTTCTCTATTTGTCTGATTTCACTAGTTGGGCTCCTGACGGCTTCCTATAAATGCTAGAATCTAACCCACCATCTTGTTTTCGTTTCATTTTATAGTCAGTCTAGCATGGCCAACTCATCGTGTTCGCTTTCTAACTCACAAGTGAATTAGATTCCATCCACTACTGAGTTTATATGTGTGTGTGTGTGAAAAACTGAAGGGGATAGGTTCATATTTGAACGCAGTAGTCATTGTATCATACAAACATCTCCAGCAGAACGTAGATGGAGGCGGATTAAACGTTGTGAGAGCTTTATGTTCCCAACTGTTCACAAATATGTCTGTTATTATTAGGGGTATTAGTGATCCCATCGCCCCTCTTTTTCATCTGAATACGTAATGTCGAAAGTTTCCAATGTGTACGATCGTTATTTTTCGGAATAGTGTTTAATATTATATATATATATATATATATATATATGGTACCATTTTATTCTGAAAAAAATTGTTGTTCTTGCATTATTCAAGTATATATTTTACTTTGAAATTCGAATACAGTGGTGGTTAGACATAACTGAACACGTAATATAATATCGTCTGTCTCTGTCTGTCTGTTTTCGACATAGAACTTTGCACAAATATGCGGAAGTTCAAGTCGCCACACTACGTGTAGCACGCGAAGCAAGAGAAGAAAGTACAAGAAAAGCATAATAGAGACAGTGAGCAGAGGTGTGAGACAAAGGAGGAGTAATAACGAATAACAAACCAGTTTCATTGGAGATCATAAGTCAAAAGGAGTGGATGCATTTGCGCATCGATATTATCGTTGAAGACAAGGAAACCTTCGACTTAGGTTTCGTCGTCGTTGGAAAACCTGACTGACAGAATTCAGTCTGCACCAAACGACGGACTAGACGCATGACATTAGTTCCTACCTAGTGTCCGATCAGAGTACACACTACAACCCTACAGGTCAGTCGTAAAAGTAAATAGCTCAGTAGTTACGTCGCTGGCTGCAGCACATAGTAACCCGTATTTAAATCCCATGAGGGATATAATTTCCCTTAAAGATTGTGGATGCACTTTGGTGACAAGTTCCGATAAGCGCAGAACCTAGGTCTAGGTAGGTCATCCTGACGACTTCCTCTAACCATCTAACGAAAATTCAGGATACACCTTAATGCGGCCACATTTCCAAAGTGACTGACAGAACTCAGTATGAGTCGAGATGAAGTACTAGACATATGGCACTACCTACCGCTTAGCGTTCAAACAAACCAATTGATGTTACCAATGGATAAGGTACGCCACAAATTAACAGATTCATAACTAGTTACTTAAAAATAATTCAGTAGTTAGACGCATTTCAGACAAATATTCAACGACGGTTGCTGTCAACTAAAAAATGCAGATAAGGGGAGAAATTCAGGACTAAACAGAGTACAGATATACACATTCTCGGAGAGGTAACTCTTATCAAAGCCTTTTGTCAGTAAATTTAGGGATGGTACTATTTCCGAATGCTTTGATATCAGTGCCAACAAAATATTACAGGAAGTGTAATGATACTACAATGAAAATGGCATTCATTATCTAGAAGACGGTTGGTACTGAACACGCCAAAAAGAGATTTTTACCATATTGAGGATCCAGGTCAGGAATCTAAATAGCAGTCAGTACATTTATTGATGATTGTTGAGTTTCAGTCTAAGCAGGCATAATTTTTGTCCTAATTCCAGCACATTAGAGCCAATACAACTTTCCGAATAAAAAAGTGGGATATCGTGACCAGTAGGAGACAGCAGGTCAGGCGTGAGGACACATACTCGCCACAGATGACATTGGCTAGTGATCACGCTATATCATGAATTGACAGAACTTGGAATTCATGGGCCATTGGATCGGGTCCCAGTTGCTTAATGGTCTACGAGCTCACTCGCTATGTAACCAGAAGGTCCTCGACTCGAACCCTAGGTGTAGGTGCGTGCTGATGAAGAGTCCCAAACTAGGATGAAAAAGTTGGACGTCAGTACTAACAGGTTTTCCAATAGTTCGCCAACCGATATCAGCTCATGATGAAATCCTGTAACCAATAAAGTCAATTTATTTAGACACTTTACTTTCTCTCCTCAAAGGAACTGACCAAAACCACTCTCGTAGCATTTATCACAGTAGCAAAAAGCATGGTCAACTTAACAAGCCTAGAAAACTTTAACTTTTGTCCGCATCTAAAAAGAAACTATGTCGTATGGTTATCTTAAATCAACTAACTCCGTACAAGAAGCGATTCAGCTCTCTCTCTCTCAAAAAAAAATTCAGAATTGTACAGGTGCATATCCACTAGTAGTACACTCATAAAGAAGTCATGTAAAGACGGTGAAATTAACAACCTATGTTATGTATTGTTGTTCATAATCGCCTTAATGATGATTCTGTGTAAATTTCTGAATAGTTGGACAAAATTCAATAGAGAGTTGTGTTTGGCATAAGTTCTTGATGTGCCTTTCTTAACGAGACATTACCAGAATGTCTTTCAATAGAAAGAATCGAAAGCAGTCATCAGGCCAGGATATATAGTAAGTGTAAGATACCGACAACAAGATTTCTAGTTCAGAACCTACCCTTAGAGTGTGAAGATTTAATCAACACATTTTCATTTTGACCGAATGTTGTTTGATTTTGCCTGATATCAGTTTAGCCTTCTAATGAGCGAGAATCCTAAGAGACAAAGTGTTTCGTTAGTTGAACTGATATCTATGAGCATGCCATAGAAGAGGATGTCTCCATGTAAACTAAAGTGATGAGCTGTCTACACCGATCAGAAGGAAATACGTTGGATTCCAAAACATTAGTTGGTTTAGTTAATTATCCCCTTCATTCAGCCACAAACCGTTTTGTAATCAAACTATCAGTTCACACTGCTTTATCTCATATCTAATTTAATACTACCTGTCTACCATTGGTCACAATTGAATAACACAGACGACTGGAATCCAGTCAAGGAACTGGCTTTTACCTTTAGAGAGCTTAATCCTACAGGAGAGATAATCGTAGAGTCTTCTGGAACTCGTGAGGAGGATTTTAGACACTTGACATATCAATTAAGTGGAATTACGTGGACGACCACATTTTTTCTATGTGTTTATGTCCCAGAATTACAAACATACATTTGTGGTTTGAGTTGTCAGGATTCTGGTTAGTAAGGACAATTGTCTGTCTTTCAGAAGCTAAAAAGCTCAATGTAAAGTTTGAGGTGTGGTTTTAAGGTCTGATTGTACAACAAAAGGGTTGACGGAAGAACTGTATAAAATATAACAAAGGGAAGAAATAGTTAAGACAAAGTGAGTTGCATGCAAAAATAACAACAGCTAATGAACACATGCATTTGGTATGGGCTGCTGCCACTATAACGGTTAGGCGTAGAAGTATCTAATTTACTCAAAAAAATAATGCAACTAGCTTGAGGTTTGTATCAACCACTGCGGAATTAAATTGCTCTGGTTTACAATTATATCAATTATTATATCAAACATTTATAAATTCAAAAACCAAAAAGTATGAAGAGAAATAGATACCTTTTCATCCATACACCCAAACATGCATGGGATAGAAGGCCCACACAGGTCAAGATCAAGTAATCCAACAGTATAATTATTATTTAATCCACCTTGATCTGACTTCTGACTACGTTCAAGTCGGCTGAGTCCTCTAGCCAGGCAAACAGAAAGACTGCTTTTCCCCACTCCACCTTTGCCAGATAGGATAATTATTTTGTAACGAACTGAGCAAAGACGACGTTTGATTGTTTGAATCGTCTCCGGTTCACGTTCAGAAAGAGGGAGTTTAGCCTGTCCGCTTGAACACATAGATTGATTAGGACATCCTTCACAAGTGGAAGCTTTTCCTGCCTGATCACTCTTTGTGCCAGGACATGAAGATGGTGCATCAAGAGGAACATCTGACATACTTGACAATGAAAATATAAATTTTAGTACAGAAAACATGTGTCAATTCCCATTATATGCAGAATTTTAGTTAACGTTTGATTATTAATATCTTTTAGACACAAGCAATACAATGGAATACAGGAGGTTTACATTAAATACTACTGAAGTTAGAAATATAATGGTTTGATGCTTCATAAATGTTCTTTCTTTTAATTTAAGTCTATAGGATGTTTCAATCTTTGAAGAAGCCCATAAGGGGGTGGGGGTTGTACATAGTCCTCTTGTGCGCATACATCCGGCTTCTGTTCATGAGCGCCCAAGATCTCCATTGTTTCAAAAAGTTGGAAGCACAGAAAGTTTGCATCAACTCAATAAACAATCTTAAAATTACCGTCGGGATTAGTTGAATGGCGGAATTCAGCTAAGTATTCCAGGAGGTTTCCTTACCCATTTAAATAACCATGTTAGAATATACCATTATGTGCAGAAAGCATTCTCTGACTACAGTGTGCGTCGGTGGCACAGCGGTTAGGACGCTCGCCGATCATTCACATGGTCCAGGGTTCGATCCTCTGCCGACGCACACCTGATATCAATGGTCGGCCTGCGGAATTCGGGCTGAAAATTCCATATTTGTACCGAAAATATGGTGTGGAATCAAGCTATAATCAAAAATAAAAAATAGCTTGCTCTGTGGATGCACTGCTAAATGAACATATGGGTGATCATATGAGGGTACTTATCTTCTACACAAATCAAAAATAAACTCCGACTGGTACAAATCACCTAAAGTTTTGCTGTGCAGAACGTCCTACTGACTGTTTTAGAAAGACAATCTGTCTGTCTGCTTTCGACATAGAACTTTGCACAAATGTGCGGAAGTTCAAGTCGCCACATTCCGTGTAGCACGCGAAGCAAGAGAAGAAAGTACAAGAAAAGCATAATAGAAACAGTGAGCAGAGGTGTGAGACAAAGGAGTAATAAAGAAATACAAAACAGTTTCATTGAAGATCATAAGTCACAGGGAGTGGATGCATCTGCGCCACTGAGAACGATTTTGAGCCATGTCACCAATTGTTTCCAACCATAGATTTTTACCGTCCCGAGGACCCCAGCCTGGAAGTCTACACCTTCCTACGTGGCTTAGACCAACTGTTGTGGATTTCATTGACTGATGCCAAGTTTTTGTTTGACCGCCGCTAGCTTTTTTCCAGCCTGACCCTATATCCGCTAACATTGCTCGTCGAGGGAGGCGATGGCTTGGCATACGTAACACATGTCCTAACCATCTCAGTCTTTGTAGCTTCACGACTTCGTCGATTGATTTCCCCTGTTTACCTAGAACTCTACGCCTAACCTCCATGTTGCTCACCTTATTATGCCACTTTACACGGGAAATAGAACGCAGGCACCTATGATCAAAGACAGCTAGTCTTTTCATGTCTTCCACTCTCAGTGGCCAGGTCTCACAACCATAAAGGAGGACGGAGCGGACTGATGAGCAGTACACCCGCCCTTTGGTCGATAGTCGAACATCTCGTCTACGCCAGAGTCGGCGTAAACTAACAAATGCGAAACGAGCCCCTTGTATTCGTGCTGAGATTTCGTCAGAGATCAGCCCGTTGGGGCTGATGGTACTTCCCAAATAAGTGAAGCGGTCAACGTGCTCTACCACTTCACTTCCTATTTTTAAACTAGGCGTCGATGTAGTCCAGTCCTGTAACATCATCTTGCATTTGGCGGGAGCGAATCGCATGCCAAACATTCGTAGATTGCGGCTCAAGGTGTTTAGAAGACTCTGCATTTCGTCAGCGTCTTCGCCTAGAAGGACTATATCGTCTGCATATTCCAAGTCAACGAGATTATTCCCAGGTAGCAAGTCAATCCCTGAGTCGCTGAAGTCACCTAGGGTTAAGTCCATTAACACATCTATGATGAAGTTGAATAGAAAAGGAGATAATGGGCATCCTTGACGGACACCACTGGTCGTCATCAGTTCAGATGACAGCTCGCCGTAAGCCCTCACCTGGCTGTATGAGTACGAGTAGAGTGCCTTAATCAGTGCAATATATTTTCTTGGAATTCCCTTTACAGCCAAGCATCTCCAGAGAACTTCCCGATCGACAGAGTCGAATGCTGCCTTTAGGTCAAGAAATATAATGACTGTTGGACGCCGGTAGGAATGCCTATGTTCTAGAATCTGTCGGAGGGTGAAGATATGATCAATACACCCTCTTCCTGGTCTAAAGCCTGCCTGGCTCTCTCGTGTTTGTGCTTCCCGAGCACCACTCAGTCTACGCATGATTATTGAGCCTAAGACTTTAGATACTATATTAGTCAAGCTAATCCCTCTGTGATTATCACAGGAAGACTTGTCTCCCTTCTTGTATATGGGGATAATCAGTGACTTACACCAACCCGATGGGACTTCTTCTGATTCCCAGACGCTGCCTAGTACCTCAGTTAATCCGGACAGTAAGCTGTCTCCACCGTACTTAAATACCTCTGGAGTCATTCCATCAGGTCCCGCTGCTTTGCCTAGTTTCAGATTGGTGACAGCTTTAGTAACCTCAGTTAGTGACGGAGGACCTGTGTCTATATCCCATTCAGGGAGGTGTTGGATGCTCGGAAGGTTGAGCGTGGCTGTGGGCAAATTAAACTGCTCCTCATAATGCTCTTTCCAACGATCCAGTCGTCTATCCTGTGAGCTAATTATAGTGCCATTTTTTTCCGAGATTGTCTCACTAATGATTTGTCTTCTCCCACCCGTTTCCCTGATGAGTCCAAAGAGTTGCCTGGTGTTGCCTATCCTCAAAGCTTTCTCCATCTCTTTGGCTTTTGTCGCCCACCACTGTTCACGGTCCTTGCGGAGACTTTTCGTAAGTTTCCTCTTGTGCAGCTTTCGCTCCTCATTGAATTCGGAGCTCGCCGGAATAAGTCTTCTAGCATCTATCAGTTCGGATGAGGCGGTGGAGATCCAGTGGTTTTTACTCACCTTTGGGTTTACCTTATTCACAGCTTTTACAGCTGTATCTATGGCTGCCTGGATATTTTTCCAAGCTTCTTCAGGGTGAGCACAGCTGTCGAACACAGATATGTGTTTAGCTAGTTCTTCCTCAAATACGGATTTAGTTTCCTGATCGAGCTGGGGACGTGATGGTTTTACCGCCAGCTGTTTCCTACGTCCGTTCAGTCGTAAGCACACCCGAGCGCGGACCAGTGCATGGTCGGTATCTACGCACGTGTTCCAGAAGGAGCGACAATCTCCTACCGACCCACGCCAACGATAGCTTATTGCTATGTGGTCTATTTGTGTCCAGCGTTGGTTTGATGAAGGGGGTCTCCAAGTCAAACAGTGTCTCTCCTTGTGTTTGAAGTTAGTGCTTACAAGAAACAAATGATTATCAGAGCAGAACTGTAGGAGACGGTCACCGTTGTCGGTTCGCTGGCACGGAACTCCATAGGTGCCACCGACATCCTTCTCAGATTGACACAATTTCCCTACTTGAGCGTTAAAGTCACCAGCTAGAACGACTATGTCTGAGCGTTTAGCCTTTCCACCAAACTAGACAGCTTTTGGTAGAACTCATCCTTCGTTTCATCTGAACTGCAGTCAGTGGGGGCGTAGGCGGAGATTACGAAAAGGCATCGGCGAGTAGTGCAGTCCTTCCTCCTTCTTACTGATCCGTTCAGGCGGACAGCACACATTCGGCTATCTACCGGGATCCAGTCAAGCAATGTCTTTTCTGCCCTAGTACTCAAAGCTATCCCTACGCCAGCTAATCCTCGTGAACTAGCTGTGGCATCTCCTGACACCCTCAAGGTGAATTTTGCAGATTCAACCTGTTGGCCAGGTGGGGTTAGGTGAATAACCACACTTGGGTCTTGTATGCGTGTTTCTGAAACACAGCATACATCAATGGCTCGTGATGCCAGGGTCTTGGCTAGTGATGCTTGTTGTCCTATTTGGCAAAGTGTCCTAACATTAAGAGCTCCTATATGAAATTGGTGGCGCGGCTTTAAGAGGCTGTCGGTGGTGGTTTTTTGGCTCCACGTATATAAGAATCCTGGTAGCGAAGGCTTCTTCAATCTTGGAGATTCGTCCAGATTTATGCACGTGATGATTAGTTGGGGAGATTTCACTACTATCAATGGGTATTTCTGAATGCTAAGAGTGACGCCATACTGACGCGGGCTAGTTAGGGCACAATATAAATTTTGGAGGTGGATTTTCTTACTTGGACTTAATATGAGACATTCATTTAGCAAAAGTGAAGAACAACAAACCTACAGTGCTTAAAAGATAGATTATCCAGACTAAGGGACATCAGCATACACATGATATTTGTTAAGCTTAAGGTTTTGTTGAAAACCACTGATTAAAATGTGCTGTGGTTTTACAATGAGAAATGCGTATATTATCCTGAACAATGACTATAGACACTGTGACATGGCTCAAACTTTATCCAATTGGCCCATGTTTCATCAGTTTTCGTCTTCTTGCATTATCTTTTTTTTACTTTGAGACTGTTATAATTGTTTTCAGGTACTGTTGAGCAATCTGGCCTTGTTTACTTTTTAAAAAGTTTCTGGACCGGCTTGTTTCGGCGGGAAAATTCACATGTCCATTAGAGCTTTTACGTATGGCCCACAGTTAACTGTACGGATCTGTGAATAGTAGATGAGCTCTACTTTTTAGAAAATTTCCATCTACAGACCAATTACTCCTGTGGGTATAAAAATAAGTAGTCATCACTGCAGTATCCAAGTATAACAGATAATTTTAACTCAACCAGTTGGTTTACTAGCTAATTCTTGCTCTCTAAGTGAAACGAAAAGCTAGTCGACAAGCTAAAACACTAGCAGGGAAATCGGCTAGAACAGTGTTTTAAAAATTAAAAATCTGGTTGCAATTAGACTTTTGTGCGTATGAAAATATCTTTCGGTTTTCAGCTGATCTTTGCTTGGAACCTTGCTTGATTAGAAGTCTTTAAACTTCAAAACAAGGGGGATGTTATATTTGGCTGATACTAAACACCGGCCAAAACACTTCCTATAACTATTATATAACATGTTTTAGTTAGGAGTGACAGCTTCTTGAAACACAGAATCGACAGGGTTGTGCAAAAAACAAACTCTAAATAAATATTGCTTACTAAAAATGCCCAAAAATTTGGTAATGTAAAGAGCAAGTATCAAAACCATTCCAACAACTAGACTAAGTAAGCCATCACCAAAAACAGAGTACAGAGTTATATGAACACGACCCAATATCCTTTATATGAGGTGGTACTGATCAGATTTATTTTGAGCTAGTTTTTAATTTAAATATGTTAAATCTTTCCGTACCAAAATGTTTTGTTGAGAGAAAAACTACAAGCAGAAATTTACAAGATATTTAAATGATGGACAGAGCTTTATGTAGACAGTGAAATTTATCAGCTACATGGTATTTATCTTGTCGTAAAAGACAAGAAACTGTTAACATTATTACCAATGCCTTAAGAAGTTTCTTTTAAGGAAAGAACAAACAATAAATCTATGGAAACCCTCACGTGCTTACCTCTTATCAACGGTACGGAGCAACTTTGTGTGTGCGGCAAGGTCGCGTACCCAATATTCAATGTATTCATTGCGAGCTTGTGTGGAGATTGTAGTTTTTGGCGCGTGCTCCCTGTTTCGGAATGGCTATAAATTTTAAATAGATTAAAGAATAGAGAATATATCTGCCCGGATACCGTAGCTCTGCTGAATTCGATAAAAGGTATTTTAGTTTATTTTAAAAGACAAGTCATGTTTTGTACCACGACACTAAGGCTTTCAAGAATTGAGAACTTCTTTTTGCCAGAAAATCCTCTGGATTTGTAAAATGGTGCTGCAAAAAGAGGTAATAAGACGGGTGAATGGTATTTAGAATTTATCCACCACATGCGGAAACAATGCTTATGTCTTTTTTTAATTCGCTACATTCACTAATCAGTTGGCAGACTGTTCCAGTTGGCTTCGGTATTAATAGGGAACGGAAGCGACGTAACTCGACATAAACGCAGTTTCTGTTGTCTAAATTACTGACCCATCCGGTGACACAAACGTAAATACAGGAAAGGGGAAGGGAATGACAGTGATAGTAGGATACTGAAGAAACTTTAGAGTAAAATGATGGGCTCGTTAAATTAAACAGTTAAAATATCTGTGATGTCAGTACAACATCCTAAACGAAAACTACATCCCTTATAGACGTGCACATACCATTTTTCAAAATGGCCTAGCTTTCTTTTGAAGCTGCCAACGGATGAAGCGTGAGTTCGCAGTTGACAAACCGTAATAGAAATAAACTAGACACGGTTTTTACTGACCTCTGGTGGGAAACTCAGGTAGTTCAGTGTGTGAATGTTTCGGTGACCTTTCACTGGTTTATCTCAGTTTGGATGGCTTGTGATGAGAACCATTCTTAGAGTTGTTATAAAGTCTCGCTAGTACTGCAGTAGCTTAGGATTTGTAGTGACGGTCTTCGCTGGGCGAATATCATGCAGTAGTCACTCTTACCAAGTGACGTTTATACCTACTCTCTTCTGTGCATTTCTGTTTAGGAGTGGTGGTGCAGTGGCACTGTAGACTCCTGGAGATGGTTTTATATGGCAGCGTCAAAATCTTAGGTATAATTGCACCTAATTACGTAAAGTAGAGCGCTTTCCCATCATCGATTGCGTAGTTACAGTTTATTTCTAATTTTTTCCGTCAGGAGTAGGCTGAGGTCCCACTCTGTGCCTACTTAGGAAATGTTGGTTTCTCATAATGAAATGAAGATTCCTCCTCTTGCTGGTGTGCGTTTGAACATCGTCTGGTGTTCATTGATGCTAAGAGCTAACCCTTAATATATGGTCTGAATCTTCATTTTGGTTAGGTTTTACCACAACCTGATCCGGTCCTCCTCACTTCTCACGGCCATCCATAATCTTGTATTACTTACGTGGAGAAATGCTGGAGAGCCAAAGTTATTTAGTAGGTAGTTTTTGATAGTCAAGCATAAATGTAGACCACCAATGATTCTTTGCCAAATTACAGAGATTAATAGTCCACATTTGGAGTGTACTCCTTTACTTACATGCAAAATTACTTACCCTTTTGGTGGCCTCAGACTCAATATAGTGTGAATTGCCGAACCCCCTCCGAAGGCTTTCCACTCCAAGGATTCATGAAGCCAAAAAACGAATGTCTTAAATGAGTCCCAAGATAACTGGAATTTTTTGTTTGGAGCAGGCTATCATGTTGTTCCATTTTGCTGTCATATTGATAATGCAGCACCGATACTTCGCGAGACCATGTTCATCTTCGCTGAGGATTTTGTTTTTATTCACATGTGACTATCCTGTGGACTTTCCATTTGGCATTATCGGAGGCAGCGCCGTAAGATTAGTAGTACTAAGAATTCCAGTTATGCACGCCTACCTGAAAGCTGGACGGCCTGCTTCCAGTCGTTCCATATCAGATGCCTGTCTGATGAGTGATAATACAGCTTATTTAGTTGGACCCACAGAGCATCAGGAATCTGCGAGCTACCGGCCTGATTTTAAAGCAACATGAGGAGTCGCCTAGGAAGTGTTGTTAATATCTTCAAAACCATGCCTTCATTTATTTGCCGAGAATTAATCTTTACGACGTCTGAATATGCCATATGTTCTTAAGGTGAACGTATGTACTTTGACCAATTGTTATGCATTGCAAAAGAATTTGGCTATTTCTAACGCTTCAAGAGGTCAGCCAGTAGGATTTCCGATGTCTTACACACCCTCACAAGTCGTATGAGGTGTGGCTTGGAGTGGGGTTTGGGTTGATTTGTGATTTACTTGCTGAGATTTCTCGAAATGTCACCCTATCCTCCTGTACTTTGGAGGGAAATCTATCACAGGTGTTTTATTAACATTTTTCACACAATCCCAATACCCGTTCACCACTAGTAAATGGCACTCTTGCAGTGGAAATTCCAACATCACTGGTTCTCTTCTTCTCTCGAAGTTATTTCTATTCTAAGTTTACAGTAAGTGTTTTGTCCTTGGACAGTCGTTCATTAATAACCAACTTACTGTGTAACCACTGCTGACCATTGGGGGGTCCTTAAATAATAGAGATTTGTTGCTCAGGTGGTTTGGCTGTGTTCCATGAGCTGGTAGATTTAATCGTGAAGTTTTCATTAGAGGAGGCCTGCTTAAACCTTGGGCTACCAAAATTTTCTGTCACTAACATTGCATCTGATTACTTGGATTTATTTTGTTTTAATTATTCAGTTATGTGTCCAAATCGTATTACTTACTCTCGCGATCATTTAAAATGTTTTCAGCCTGATGATTTACGAGTATATAATAACCTTAAGAAAAAGCACCATGGTGGGTGGCAAAGATCCTTAAAGTGTACTCCAATGCATCAGATGACTGTCCCCGTGATTGTGAGAACAAATTGCTGGTCATTATCGAACAAGATTAACTACTTGGGTGCTCTATTATGTTCAAATATTTATCGTAATACAAGCGTAATAACGCTTCAAGAAACTTGGCTGCACCATTCATATGATAACAATTTAATCTTACTGAATGGTTTCAATATGTACAGACAAGACCGAAGTAGTTTAAGGAAGAAACGAGGTGGTGGTGTCGCTACTTTTATTAATTCTCAGTGGTCTGTTACCAACAAAGTCTGTTTTAAATTCTCAAATGATTATATTGACTGTATAACTGTCAAATGTCGACTTAAACACCTATCTAAATACAAATTCATTTATATCACAAACATTTATGTCATACCTAGCTGTAGCACTTCACAAGTGTCTATGTTTGCTGATGAATTCACTATTTTCGCCGCCTCCTCTTTTGGAATCTCATGGTCCATAGTTACAGGTGATTTTAAATCATGTGACTATAGCTTTCTCACAGTGCTAGATCATGAAAATGTCGTCAACTTTGCCACCAGACTGGATAATTCCCTTGATATTATATTTATAAATGACCGTGGAATATACGAAGCTCGTAAAAGAGCGCCACCCTTTAACTCAGATCATTGTATTGTACGGGTTTTACCTAAAATTTATGGAAAGTTACACAAGAGAACCTTTTTCACACCTCTCCAGGAAGACTGTACATGTATGTTACTCTTTGGAGAATGTTCAGAATCTCAGGGGCATGCTTAAAGACATAAGGTGGGACCTGTTTAATGAAGATTCTCTTGATGACACAATCTCTAATATTACAAGTTATCTCAAATTTTGTCTTGACACCTGTTGTCCCAGAGAAACGCTCTTCATCAGATTTGACCTTTTCTCCTCCCCTCAACTTAAAATACTTCTCACACAAAAAGAAAAGCTATATAAAATGAAGGACAATACTGGTTTGAAAAGAATTAACATCCTAATAAAATCTGAAATGCACAGGTTGAATTCAATTTACAACCAAAAGTTTATATCCTGTAACAATGCGTCTAATCTATGGAAACTTTTCAAAGAAATTACTGGTGGCAAGCATATGAATAGTATTCCTTATTCCTTTGATGTTTGCATACTAAACAAGTCCTCCACATATTCTCTCACAAATGCCAAACTTTCTAGTGTTACAGGTGTTAATGAAACCTGCTTCCTTGGTTTCAATACAAATGATGTTCAAAAATGTCTCCAGTCTCCGAACCCTTCTTGTAGCCTGGGCCCAGACGGTTTGCCTAGTGTTATTCTTAAAAAATGTGCAGACATCCTGTGTTATCCTCTTATGGACTTATTTAACGAATCTTTTTTCTAGAAATGTCGTTCCAGCCGTTTGGAAGGACATCAAAATTGTGCCTATCCCTAAGTCGTCTACTGGAACATGTTTTAAATTTAGGCCTATTGCTAATACCTCTCCTTTTCTAAAAATTATGGAAAGGTTAATATTAATTAATCTTCAACCTTCACGTAAAGTCTGTAACAATTCCAAACAATTCGCCTATAAACACAGTTGAAGTACTTTAGATGCAGTTGCAGTCTTGTATCATAACATTGTCTCCAACTTAGACAAGGTGGCTAAATTTGTTCGCTGCACCTTCCTGGATTACACATCTGCTTTCGACCCAGTACCTAGGGACATTTTGTTAAACAAGCTTGCTGAAACTAAAACTGACTGTTGGGTTGTCAAATGGCTGCATTCTTATTTCTCGGGAAGAAAGCAGTACACTGTATGTCAGGGAAAGTCGTCCACTTCATTGCTTACTAAGGCCGGTGTCCCTCAAGGTGCTGTCCTTTCTCCTTTTCTGTTTACTTTCACTTCGCATGGTTTACCTCACTCTGATGAAATGAACTTTGTTAAGTATGCTGATGATCTAACTATTTCAATATCAGTTCACTCCCAGCTACAATGTACTAAGATGAACAGTTTTTTTATCAAGAATTACCAAATGGTCTCCGTGTAACGGTCTTAAACTAAATCCTTCCAAATGTCAGACTGTTAATTTCAGTTTCCGATGCAAACGAAAGTTAAATGAAGCCATTGGTTCCTATGACCCTTGTAAAATTGATGATACTGCTATATAAATCAAGTCTGAAGTTAAGTGTCTTGGATTAATTCTTTCTTCTGACCTATCCTAGTATTCCCATGTCTAAGTGATTTCTAAATGAATATTTCGTCTGACTATTCACAATAAGAAATTGAGGTACTCAGGCATAACCAAACCACTCACTCCTCTGACAGTTTGTCAACTAGTGTATTTTATCTATTCTTCTTTACTGTTCACCCATGCTTATTCTCTCCTGGATTACTTAAAAAGACCATGTCATAATTCGTAGAACTCTGAAAAGTGACTGTCGGTAGGACGAGTGGTATCCCATTGGACCATATCATTGACATTGTCACTGATAGACACCTGATGTCATGCAACAAATTTGATAAAGGAATTTTGTCAGACTCTGAGCACCCACTCTACTTAACCCCAGCTCCAATCTTGTGTCTCCTCCTCAGGTGAAACAAGAAGTCTGTCAGCAAAGTCTCATAAACCGTTAATGCCCAGCTCTCGCTACGCTCGGGCCCACGCTGTTCTTAGAAGATTTCTGAGAAACGCTTAGTAACAACGGACGAAAAAACCAGAACACCAATTGTTGACTTGAGTATTATGTATTGTTACACCAGCATATAAATCAAGTATCACTAAGCAAACTAAGAAAACTAAGGTCTGAAAACAAATATTACAATAATAAATCTCTGTATTACTTCTGACGATGTTTCAATCTTCTTTCTGAACAG